TCTCACTCTCTCTTTCTCTCTCTCTCTCTCTCTCTTTTTCTATTAAGCAGGAGACAACTTCTAATTCAATTATCGAAGCAATCTCGACAAAAAGATACGACTATTGTCGCCCGGCGAGAAGCGGCCGCGCTTACAAAATCAAATTTTTTAGTTTACTTCCCGAAGCTTCTTACATAAGAAGCTCTCTTTTGCTATCTTTCTTTTTTTTTCTCCGTCTTTCTGGAATTGAATAAATATTAAGATTTGATAAAAGAAAACTCTCTCTGTGTGTTTCCGTTGCGCTCTTCAATTCCTCGTTTGTAAATCAGATTGAACAAAAACCTCGGTGTGACAAAAGAGTTAACTGAAAAAATATACAGCGTGTAATAAAATTCAACCGGAGCGAATTCTTTTGGCAATATGCTATGTGACGTTCGAGAGCGTAATGTTAAATTTTATCATCGATCCGAAAGTTTTACGATTTTTATCAATATTACAAATTGTAACTTTTTGTTTAAAAAAAAAACAAAATGTATTTTCTCTTTTGAAAAAACTTTTGAAAATATTTTTTTTCAAATATTTAAAGTATAAACACACAGAATTTTGCCGAGACGAAATATTTTTGCTTTTCAATCATACATCACAATATGAATGTTAGCCGCGCCATTCGCGCGCGAAATACGAGGATTCGGGAAACGAATCGAAGATGCATTAACGTCCGATAAAAATCCGCGTCGGTAAAGTTTAAAGCTCAAGGCGTACTTATGCATAGATAAAAGCGCACGGGAAAAGAAGAGAGAGAGAGAGAGAGAGAGAGAGCATGACGGACGAAGTTTGGCGAAATGTTTTTCCGCGAGAAGGTGAGAAGAGCGTTAAGAAAAAAAAAAACTAACCGCAGCAACGTGTCCGCAACTAGAAGTAGTATCAAAGTAATATAAAAAATTCGTAAATCGCGAAGTAATTAGCGTAAAAAGTTTTCGCTAATGACGCAATTTATAAACTGACAAAATATATCGATTTTGCGATTCTTTCTTGCGTTCCGATATCAAAAAATTCCTCAAAAAATCAAACCGAGGAATAAGAAATTGTTTAACATCCCGACAAGATTTTATTTTTTTTCTTTCGAAATATGCGCGTTAAAAACTAGTAGTTATAACGTAAAAAGCCAGGTTTTTAGTTTTATATCTGTTCTTCTCTCCGACTGTGGCCGAAGTTCGTTATGGAAAAAGTAGAATGATAAAATTAGCATAACCGCGCGAGGGGGGGGAAAAAAAAAAAAGAAAATGTTATACACAATTCGGGAAGTGACAATATGGCGGCGCATTTGTTGACGCGAGTAAACCAGTTTTTTCACAGACCGAGCTAACTCAAACTTCATCGCGCGTGTGAGGCCAAAGTTGTAGCAATACTCTATATCTATGTTCGCGGATACAGGGTATTCTTAACAATGACAATTCTGTTTGCGAACAAATTTCCCGCAGCGAGAGAAATTCCATTTCTTGCGAGAACGTTGGGTTAAGAGAGAGGGTAGGGGCGAGGGAAGGAAGAATCAGAAACACAGAAACTGTGCGAGATAGCTCCTCCTTCTCGTCCTCTCCGACCTGTCCCTTAACTTTCGCCGAAAACGCGGGAAAGCACCGTGACCACGAAAAGATTGCCAAAGTTTGCAGTTAGAGAACCCCGCGATGAAAGATAATCAGCGCGAGTTGAGAGCTTCATCCAAAACCAAAGTCGCATCGCAGACTGAGCATTTTAGCTTTGTTTACTTGAAACTACACCCCTTAGCACCTGTCTCTCTCGCGAACTTTTTGTCCCGAATCGAGCGAAACAACGAAAAAAAAAAAAAGAAAACGAAAAAACCTATTTGGGCGCGGGTCATTTCAAACTCAAGAAAATGATTTTCTCGTCACGTAAAAAAAAAAAGGCCGTTTTCGAGGGAATACGAAACGAGAGGGAACTCTCACGAGTTGTGTGAGTGCACTTGCGGCGCAAAACGCATCGAACGCTTTGTTTTCAAGAGCTCTTCCATCGCGCGACTTCACCTTAGCAAAGAGACTACTATATGTATTGTGTGATTTTCTCTCCGCGTGCATTTCCTCCGTGGGTTTTTCTGATCAATGTTCACCAAACCAGAAGTGTGCGCAAAGGTGTGTGTGTGTATAGATCGATCTTTTTCCCCCCCCCTTTGACTTTCAACAATCCGAAACATATCTATTGACTTGTGTTGCAAAATAGAGCGCGTACACAGAAAAAAAAAATGGAGTTGCTTTAATTAAAGTCGATTTGTCACGGGCTGCCGCAAAAATAAATAGTTCATTCAATTGCGTGTGCGATTGAATTTAACGTCTAGATTCTTAAAGCAACTCTATCTGCTGTGTGTAAGTGCAACAATATTGATGTTGCATCAACAGGATATATTTCAATTAAACCGATACTGTTGATTCAACATCATTTTTTTTTGTTCGTGTACATGGTGCGGAGACATTTAGTGTGTCTTTTCTTCCCGGTCGTAGAACTCTCTCCGCGGGCGGGTGTATCTTGTTTGGCGCTCATTAGCGCGATATCGCACACGTCTTACCGAGCTATCGTATGTTATAATTCAACGAAGATACGATGATGAGAGGGACGGCTATTTAATTCGCATCGTTGTGCGTTTATCCTTCGGTGTATTATCCTTACGTTGACGTGTTCTTCTTCGAGGATACGTTTTCTTCGCCTATATATATATATATATATATATATATATATATATATGTTTCTCTCTGTCCTAGATTTCTCGAAACGTTGCACCTCTATCGAGCGGATATTTCTGTTGGCAAGCATCGCGTGTTTTGAAACCTCCAAGTCCTCTCTCAGCCAGTGTTATCCCGCTTTCTTTCTATAGCTTTTCGGCTTTATATATCCAGCGGTATACGTAATGTCATTATTAACTGCGATTCGCCATGCTACATGCGTTCGCGAAATATCCGCTAAGATAAAAAAAACTTCGTTCCGCTTGCTCGCGATCTTCTTTGTTTTTTTTTTTTTTTTTTTTTTTTTTGCAAACGCTAACTCTCTCCGTCAGTTAGCGCGGCGTCGGATTGTTAGAATTCCCGCGTGTCTATTTTGCGGCGAAACGAACAACCTCTCACATCCGCGCGCACATCTGCTGCGCGATGTACCGGAGAGATATCCGCGCGGAGAGAGCGTTCATGTGAAATTATCGTGAAAAGAATTTTTTTTTTTTTTTTTTGAATTTGCATAGCCATTGTCACTCGGTGATAAAACATGTATGTGCATTTTTTCTTGATCTTTTTCAATTGTACCAGCGTGTCGGTTACACATTTGTGCGACAAACATTTTTATGCGTTATCATCATCGTCAGTCGTGGTACCAGAAAGATCGTGTACGTTCTGAAATGTCCTTGCTCATTTCATAAACGTATCTCTTTGGAGAATGGCGCAGTGGTTTCCTCTCGCCTTCTGCACCGCCGCAGCGCTGTTACATTAATAAGTCAATGCGTCCTGCTGCAAACGCATGACATCTGGTTGGACTTTTCCGGTACACTCTCGTGCGAATTATATCGAGAGCGTGGACTTGTAAAATTTTAAATAAAATTCCAAATCACCGGAAGTGTTTATAAGCACGTCAAGCTGATTCGGGGATTTGATTTTCAATCAATAGACTCGACTGAAAGAAACCGGCCGAAAAACAATCCGAAGGCGTAGATTCGAAGACTCGGGATCTTCCTACTCGCTCTGTATACGATATTACATTAATTATGTACGCACGTCGCAAAACACAGACGCGCGTGTGTGTTTCCTGCTATCGCTTCTCAACGCAACTTTCCCAACCGTGGCGGTATGCGATTAGCAATAATAACGTTGACGTCGAACAAGGGCTGCGCAGTGCGAAAGGATACCAATCGCGTTAGACTACACCTGGAACCGAAATTCAATATTTACGCCAGCGTGCGCGGCAACTTGGCGCTAATTAGACCGTTCGAGTAATTGGTAACGCTATCTCTCTCTCAAAGCCAAGAGGGAACGCGGTGAAATTCGGAGGCTATTGCTGTAGATATTTCCTAGATGCGACTAACCATCGCGTTGAGCGATGCGTGTCGATACTGACGTACTTGATCGCTCAACGATGCGTATCGGATGCTCGACCGATCCGAAAATTAAAAAAAAAAAAAACACACACGAGCGTTTAACTCTCTCAAACACGTCGAATATTTATTCCGATTGAATACGCGGAGATCTCGTCTCATTTGTTATAACATAAAAAATTAACATCGATTGACATAAAATCGATTTTACGTTCTAGCAAGTAAGACTTGTATTTGATACTGATTATTATCTTTTTTTATTGTTTTATATGCGACTACCACATTTGTAAACATTAGTATTTAAGATGCAATTGATAAGGGCTTAAAATATAGCCGAAACGTTTTGTTTTAAAAACTACTTTGTAGCATATTTATTTATTGCACAACATCCTGCACTGGCTCAATATTGCCGTTATTTCAAAAAATCAACTGTAAATTTGAGAAAGAGCCTGAGGTGACATCCTCATATCTTCACTATAAAAAATTAACTTTTCAAATTAACATACAAAGATGTTTTTTCGGGTTTGAACCGCGTTAGTGTCATTTTTATACCGACGTTTCGTGAACATTACAGCTCACTTCATCAGGGTTTGAAGAGCAGCCTAATACTGTAATCTAATGACACTAACGCGGTTCAAACCCGAAAAAACATCTTTGTATGTTAATACTACACATCGCGAAAGCATCAAATATCAACTTTTCAAATTCTTGTGACAAATATTCATATTTGTTTCTAACTTCGTCGAATTGCAAGCGAATTTTATTTATCAAAGTAATTGCCTTATAATTCGTCAACTTGTACATTTACGTACAAAAGTTTGATGTGTGGAGCGCAATATCTAGATATAAAAAAAAAATTGATCTAACAACAAAATCTAATTTTTGCACTTGATAATAAGCTTGATAATAACGCCAGCAATATATTTCCTTCTAGTTTTGGTCTGCGTACGTTCCTTGTGGTGCCGCTCAGTTAAACGCAGTTCAACTTTCATTGGAACAGATCGATGTGATTCGTCGTCTTGCCGAAATGAATGCTCAACATTTAACTTTGGTTACTTCTGTCAAAGGTAAATATATATACACACACACACACACACACACATTATAATACTCATTTATACTTTCGATATTCTTGCAATCTTTATACCGCATGCAGTTGTTACTGTGTAATTATATATGATACTTTTGTCTCTCTCGTATGTCAATCGTATGACTGTAATCTTTTTGTCATAGTGATTATGACTCTTGTTTTTTACTTTTTCTGGATTCAATTCTATTCTTCTTGTCAGAAGGCTGTCTTTGTTGCGTCGCATTACCACAATTAGATTCCATTTCAAAGAAGTAAATTTTTCTTTGTAAACTGAAAGAATTTTCATATTAAACGTAACACACAAACACACATATTCTCTATAACCGTGGCTATACTAATAGATGCGAAAGCGATCGTGGAGAAAGTTTCTCATTGAGACGACTCGAGAGGATAAAGGACCGCTATTAATTGCTCGACTTCTCCAAGTTGTGGACGAAAGTCGTTATTGGATTCGATTTGATGGCATAACTTCGTATTGTGAAAGATTTATCGTCAATAGACAAAAGTAAGCTATCGGCCGCACCATAATCGAGGAAGAGAGAGAGAGAGAGAGAGATTCCTATTAATTCAAACAAGAAGCCACAACCTGACCTCTTGGAATTTTGGTAGAACTTGCTTTGTGTGTAAAAAACTTAATTTCTTAATAATAAAAAGTGAAGAGATTGCAAATTAATGACGATACATACATCGACATTTAAATAATTAGTTTGAGAAAATGGTTGACAATGACACATCCTAACAATGATATTCTCAAGATAATTAAAATTAATGAAACTAAAATTTCGACGTATGTTGACAAGAAACGCTTCAGGTGATGTCTCTAGTGCAGAAAAGTCTGATTATATTTTTTTTTGCAACAATATACAAATCACATCTAAAACTAGATCGACAATTAAGCTTGTGTGTTGAAAAAAAAAATCAAGTCAACATATGCGCCCGAACTGCGAAAGAGGGAGAGATGTGAGAAGCGAGCGTGTGTGAAGAAATGAAACTGGCGTTTCTTCGTAATGAAATTTACCGCGAGTAACCCCCGGTCCGGAAAGCTGTCAGCCATTTTCATAAGTTCGAGAAACTTCGCCAAGCGAGAAGTGAAAAGGAGGTCGCGACATGTGAAAAAGGCAAAAGGTGGGAAGCACAAGTATAATATCCAACAATATATACAATCGATGACGAAAACCGCGCAAACTCTTTGACAATTTACCGCGCCTCGGAACAATCAACAAAATGTCATAATTAAATCGATACAAGTAAAGAAAAATTTGCAAGATACAATTAATAACAAAAAGAAGAATTTCATAAAAAGCAGAGAAGGTAGAGAGAGAGAGAGAGAGAGAGAGAGAGATAAGTATATTCATTAGATTCTTTTTATTTTTTTGGAAAGAAGCAAGCTGTTTCCGAGCGAGCTGCGTTCAAAGCAGCAAAAGGTAAAGAACACTTACAAAAGAAGATTACCAGCTTTTTAATTTTCGAGATCAGTGGCGCGTTTCTCAAAAGATAGCACACGGCGCTTTCTTGTATCGAGATAAAACGTATTAAATCCTATTATATATTATAAAAACGCTTTAGCTTCTTTCAACAGTATTCAGGCACAATAAAAGCGTAAATCAGGCGTGTAAAAAAATCTGTTAAATTAATAATTTTTTCTCTCGTATTTTTTCATAGATTCTCTTTGAAATTATACTCGGCGCTCGCGAAGCGCGTTTTTACTGAATGTACACATAAAATATTACAAGAGTGATCTGACGCAAAAAAAAATACGTAATATATATGTGATATAAGAGTGATATGTGTAACAATAAAAAAAATAAAAAAATTGCGTAAATATTGTAAATCCACACATCGGATATCTTGCGTCAGATGTGCGCGTACATGATGCACCGTAAAGTAGATTTGAAATTCCGGAATATGTAGTTAAATAAATAAATAAGTCTCGCGTGGATCGCGACACGAATATATTCGATGTAAAACACGATAAACCAGTCGACTTAAAACCCCCCCGTCGTCGTCTCTCTCTCTCTCTCTCTCTGATGCAGTCTGAAAGTTTCAATGAGACGATCGACAGCATTCCTGAAAGCACTTCCAAAAGCGGATCTAAAAGCCGATTTTTACCGATCTTTGCATTCACTTTCGACTTGCTCGAAGCGCGACCGAGTTTCCGAGATTTCATCCAATCATTCATTCACCACCGGTCAGATCATAAATAATCGATGAGTGTAATATCGGGAATCCTCTTGCTTAATTTACCCAAAGTGTCGTTTTATTTTCGTTCGCTGAAACGAAAAAAAAAAAAAAAAAAGAAAAAAGCAATTATAAAATCCGCACCGCGCCTCCCGATGGGATAAGCGCGACAAAAAAAACTGGACAAAAAAACTCGGGTAATTTACGGAAGAAACGTAATTCGGCCGAGAGCAAAGTTCATTGAAGATAATTTCAAGTTCTCTGTAAAAAAAAAAAAAAAAAAAAATGGATGGGTCTTGAATAACTCGTGTACACACTTGAATGTTTGCCGAGTGAGGTTTTGAGTGTTCTCAGTTCGTCAAGTTCGTCGCAGGTGGTTTTTTTAGCATCTTTATCGTCACACATGAAAACGCAATAGACTTTTTTTTTTATTTATATATATATATATATATATGAGACTGTAGTGAAATATAGTTACTTGAGAGAAAAAAAGAGATGAAAAATCAGAGCAATGAAGAAAAAACGCGATATATCTCATTTATATATATATATATATGTGTACATTGAGAGAAATAAAAAAGATGACTAATGTGATAATGGAGATGATTAATGTGATAATAGGTCTCATCGAAGCGCACAGAGAAGGAAAAATTGCAAGTCTTATCGGAGTGGAGGGTGGTCATTCCCTGGGGAATTCTTTGGGTGTTCTTAGGACATTTTACGGCCTGGGAGCGCGATATCTTACTTTGACACATGCGTGCGACACCTCCTGGTGAGTATAAATTGCAAATGTATCGGAACATAATATTTTACTTCTGTCAACATATCACACACTGACATATATATAATTTAACATAATTCTCCGACGCGCTGCAAGTTATCCGTATATCGGCACTATACTTTTATTGGAGTTTTATCAAGTTAGCACCCAATTTCTCTACGTTGTTGTTTTTACGAGATTAAGATTCTGCAAAATATCTCGTTGTTTTGAGACATCGTTCTTTCGTCGCGTACTATCTTCTTGCATCCTCGCGCTCCAGAAGTTTTCTCGTGTACAAGACACTCGTTCATCGAGTGTCCGCTGCTTTTTTATTTATTTTATTTTTTTTTTTTTTTCTACCAGATACTCGTTGTGCTTCGTATCACGATCTACTCTTAGACGCAAACCAATTCCACGGTTGATCGGCTTAACCGAAAGCCGAAGTAACCTGAAATCTAGGCGCTTGGAGGTCCTTTAGTAATTTCGAAAACATCCTCCCCCAAAGTCTTTCTGCTTATTTCCTGGCGCGGCCGAAAAAGAAAATTACGACGACGACGACGAGAAAAGCTTTGTTTCGTCGCGAGAAAAGGAGAGAAGAATAACATTTTCTTATATCGCAGAAAGATTTCTTTCATTCGTCAAAAGTCGATTTTCTCAAATTTGTTTTTCTTCAATTCACTCTACGCTATAATCACATTATTTAGTTATTTCAAATCCATTACGTATTTTCTTTACTTGTTGTTTGTCTGACATTCGTTCTCTTTGATCCGCTGTATTGTTTACTTGTGTTTATCTCTCTAAAGAATTTATTTCATAAAGTAAATCCTTTTGTATTTATATATATATTTTTTTTTATTGTTTACTTGTGTTTATCTCTCTAAAGTATTTATTTCATTAAGTAAACCTTTTTGTATTTATATATATATACGTATTGTTTACTTGTGTTTATCTCTCCAAAGAATTTATTTCATAAAGTAAATTCTTTTGTATTTATATTTACAAATATATTATCAGCAAAAACATAGAAAAAGAGAGAGAGAGAGAGAGAGAAAGAAAGAGAAAGACAATAATTTGTCGTTTAATAGCATAATTGAACTTTTGCGTAAGTTTTTTGCACGCACACACATTTATTTATTTATAACGCAGCTGCTTTTAAAAATATTCTTCTCTCTTTCTTAAAATATTTCACGCTATATCTTTTATGAATAAAAGAAATTATGTTCGTAATTCTCATTCTACGTATCCTCCCCGCAAATCTTGATTTATATCTCGAAAAATGACGTTAGATTCCTCGGGATGTAAAGTACGACAGTGATATCACTAAGACCAACGCCGCTTTAACGTCCAAGTATTATACGACAATGGGCACCGACCTGGTTTGCTGTTCTCTTTCCGATTCTCGCCTGTTTTATGTCTCCCTCGACACCGCGACGGTTACCGCAATAAATAAGAATCGAAGTTACACCTTGGGCCATCGTGCAAATCTCTCTTCTCGCGCGCGCACACGCACACACACACACACACACACAAGAAAGATAGTACGCGTATTTTTCTTCCCTGACTTCCCCTAATTTAAGTTAATGTTATCTCACGACACGCACGATATGAAAGACAATATCTTCTCTCGCTATCAAGTCGCATTTTGTCAGAAATATCACAACTAGAGTATTTGTTTCGAACATTGGTATTTTTTTATATCACCGCACGTGCAATAAGTATGTTGAAAAAAAACATCAACGTAGGTATGTTTTTAAATTAAAAATCAAGTACGCGTCTAGGATAAAAGCGTTAAATGATATAAAATTCCTTTTTCCGCGTGTGGAAACGGGAATAGGAACGAGAGTACGTATATAGTATACAGGGATAGGTGGAGGCGTACGGTTATGCAGTCCGCAAGCATAGGCAGCATCTCAACGAAAAATGTCGTAAAACCGCGGTCCCATTTCTGCGCCCTGAGATTTCCGGCCGTACATGAGGAAAAACGCGCTTTTATTGGAACAATATCCGAATTGCTTTCGGACGTGTACCTGGGATTTAATGTTAGCTTCTGACCTTATTCTCTCTCGTCTCTCTTTGTCTCCGTCCGTTTCGATCGCGTAATCTTTGTCTTTCCTCTGGGAAACGCGCGAGAGATAGTCGGCCTGATTAAATTTTCCACAGTTCTAGATGACGAGATGTCGAATCATCTCTCTTTGGCATTTTTCATCGCGAATTTGAAAATCGTTTGCGCTTTATATTCGCACATATTTATTAATTTGTTTTGTTTTGTTTTTTTTTTTAACTCACACTTTCCTTTTATCAATATTTAAAATATATATGTATATTTAATTCAAACATCCATATTCAATAAGTAGTATTAAAATATGTGCGTGTTCATACATGCAATATGCACAACTATTAGTAGATACTTTTTTTTAGAAATTTGCAAAATATCAAATTTTATCGTAAAAAGCGCAAATGAGAATCTTACGCAGATATAGTTAATTAGATATAAGTTAAAAAATGTTACAAAACTCTTATTTAACAGAATCAATATATATTTTGTCCGCCATATTAGAATATTGAAAATATTAAATCGAAGGTTTGGAAAGAGAACACGTTATAATCTTTCACGCGGCATCGGATCGATCCATAAGAGCACGTATATTTTTTTTTACAAATCTTGACAAAATATAAAACAAATAAAAGAAACTACTTATTTTATTAATTAATTGTATCTATGAAATATCCCAATTGGCAATTGTTGTGTGCGATTTGTCGCTGATTATTGCGGAAATGTTGATTAAGATTTTTACGTGTTAACTCCCGTGAAAAATTAATATAATGTAATAGAAATATGTATATACTGTTCTAATTCCAATACTTAAGCAAAATATATATAATTTGCTCGATGCCCAGACAAGCTTGTCCGTCGAGAGAAAAAGTAATTAAACCATTCTCTTTGATTATTGCGACGAGAGAGAAATCTAAAATCGACGTTGTAATAGACATGTTCTTGGCAGGGCAGTCTGTTCTGTTGGTGAAACGAACAATACTCAGGACTCCACGCCGGGCCTCAGCGAATTTGGAAAGGTGAGTCAACACATTTTATAACGTACCACTCCAACGCGAATACATCTCTCTTCCGGTGAACTGAGAAATATCCAGTTCGCAAAAAAAAAATGTTCGCATGTATTACATTTGTGTTTCCGGAAGACCCTGCGCACGTTTTATGACCGCGGGACGGAGTCACGCGACACACATATCCCGGGGAAAAATAATATAACTCCAGACTTTCGACCAAGAGAGAGAGAGAGAAGCGTCTTTCCTCCCTCTCCCTTCGCCACTGTTCCGCAAAACAACCGAGTAAAAGAGAATATACACACATATAGAGAGTTTGTACTTTCACTACAAGCTCTGAGCGCGTTATAATGCAAATATTGTATTAAATGTTTGCAAGTTTTTCACGGAGATAATATATGTGAGATTCTCTCTCCCTCGGGAAAGTAGATTTCATCAACGCGGAATATCATAGTGGGGCAAACTGCCGAGTACAATTTATGATAGTAGTACGCTAATTTCGTAATCGCCCGCACATTAGATAATAATTCCCACTAATAAAATATGTGTAACACACGCGATATATATGATTAAGATAATAATATATTATATATAAATAGGATTACAGCTCGAAATATGATTACGCAACGTTTTCGCAAGTTTTGTATTTAAAATTTACGAACTGAAATTGAACTGTTAATTAAAAAAAAAAAAAAAAAAAACAAATGAAGTAGCCGTAATATCTGTTTAGACTACTGATTCTCTCGCGCGGAAAATCTAAATTTTTCAAATCCAGACGAGCGAAAAAGCGTTATCATTTTCGAATTTTTACGACGAGATTTAGATCACGACTCTCTCTATATATCGCGTGTCTCAATAGTTCGCGAATTATTTTTCCACGTTGTAACCGGGGGGAAAATGATCGTCAACGGACGCGCCGACCGATCGCATTTGACCTACATTCCATTTATCACACTCCCGTCGTTCCGCTCGCGCGTTCATAAAATTATATCTCGACCCACTTTCGCATGTGGAATTCGTCGAGGGATTTCGAGCGTTAACGCGCAGAGGTTCGACGATTTCGTCGGACGGAATTTCTCTCGTTTCTCGCGGCATCACCGCGTGAATCCTGAAAAACCCCTCCTCCCCCCTCAAAAAGAAAACTCATAAAGAAAAGAAACAAATTCTTCCTCGCGCGGCGAGCGATGTATCGATATTGTGTTTTGGGGTCTTCGTCGAAATTCGTGGTCTTGCAACTGATTTTGATTAAGAAAAAAAAACCGAAAAGAAAACAGAAGAGCGCTCAAGAAGATCAGACGGAGAAGAAAAGAAAGAAGCGCGAAATCGAATCGAACCACTTTTACGATTAACTAAACTATTGAGAGAAAAAATCTCGTTTTTCAAGCGCGAAACGTACGTTATCTTGTTTGTTACGCGAACAACAATCGCTTAGCACGTTCCGTAATTTGTTAAAACGTACAAATAATAAGTATACAATATTTTATCATATTGACTGCTGCGTAAAATTGTTGCATACGAACATTTCTTTACGAGAAAATAAAATTTCGATAGTTTATACAGAAGTAACGAGTCATTCGACAATTTACCAAAATATTTTTACCAAGAACCAGTGAAATTGATGCAGGTCTTGAATTAAATAAAATTATCGCACCGTGTAGCAATTTATATATATATATATATTAGCAATTTATATATAAATATTAATTTATATATTTATATATAATTTATATATATATATATATATATATTGGGGTGATATTGATTGTCGATACTTCAAAATTATTAACTTAATACTGTTCTAAGCGATTTAAGATGGAAGATTCATCGAAATCAGAAGGCCACAAATACACTAAGCTTGATCCCGCACGTTGCTTATTGCCAATACGTTGAAGCTTTTTCCCCGCTGTTGCATGATGGAACGAGCGGTTGCTCCTACTACTAATGTTCGCTTGTGGCTGAAATGCCGGAATTTTCTTCGTTTCTCGTGATATTTTTCTCTAACTCTCGTTCCCTTACTCGTCTCGATCCTTCCTACGTGTTTTTGTGACGTAATCGAGGCACCTTACCGTTATGCCGGGGATAAGATCAGACCATTTCATTCGATACTCCGCTTCGATCAGTTTGGAAACGCTTTTGATTGCTTATTTATATGCTACCTATCTAGTAGAGAGAGAGAGAGAGAGAGAGAGAGAGAGAGAGAGAGAGAGAGAGAGAGA